CAGAACGGACGATAAAGTCTGATGCAGGCTAGCACTAGGGCATTTGAAAAGTAGAAGTAAACGTGATGCTAACTGCTAGAATAATTCTTGTATATATGCTATAATTGTTAACTATTCTTGTGTGAAGCTCAATGCTTTGATTACTGTCAAACGCATAGGGGCAGGCTGGCATGGGTCAAGGCGGTAGTAGATACCTAAGGCAGGCGTGGACTGTTTTAGGCTTGGAACCCTGGAAGCCTCAGGCTTATGGCGAGCCTTGAGCTAACCTTGTCTTGATGAAGCATTATCATTCGCTGTGAAAGTCGGGAGTTCGTGGAAAATTGAATTTTATTCCAGTGGGTAATGCATGCGATTGAGAATCTCTAGATGTACATCGATTCCAATAATTCTGTAATCCCTCTGACCCCTAGACCAGAGTCTCCATCAACTCAATTGACAATGAAAGTCAAGCAAGGAGAGCTCATTTCCCGGCTCAGATTAGTTTAGTGTAGATCACCGCAGCTATCTTGATGGTTCCCGCGCCAATCTACGAATCTATAGAGCTTTAGAACCAACCTAGTCCACTTTAAGGACTAGAATACAAACTAAGCTGCCCGAAGGAACCAGCTTCAGGACTGAAAGTTCAATGAGAATATGAGATGTCAGTCTTCCAAGGCCAGGGCTTGGGAAACTGCTTGTCACTGTGTCATACCCACATTCCCATTCGCCCATCCATTCTCTGCTGAGAGGGATAACTGGAATGTGCTGCTGCTGCTGAACTCGAGCTGGAGCTCCCCTCCTTGACAGTGTGTGTGCACTGTGTGGACGGGCGTATTTACTCCTGCTTTATCCCTATCACTAAACCATTTCTTTTTCTTCTCATACTTCTCCCTTTGTCTGTGTCACTCCTTTGAATACGCATTGTAATTGTTTTTTCCATTCTCGGGGCCCACGCTCTTTCTCGACTTCTGATCACCCTCGTGCATTCTTTTCCACCACTCTTCGTTCAGCTGAACTCAAAACTGTGGTGATCGCGAGACACTCTTTTGCTATATCCCATTCTCACGCAATTTGACCCTCCGCAAACTATCGCTTTTCTTGATCGTTATCGGAACACGCTTACGAGCACGGCTGATAAGGGTATATCTGCTGGATGTTTCCGTTGACAGTACCTTTGACAGGCGATCCCAGCGTCACGACAAATGCAAACGGGCTTTCTAGCACTCTTGGGGGAACGTGAATATTCGTAATCTGAATTCGGATTTGAATGGGATGGCGAGTGGTTCATTGACAGTCAAAAGCAAGAATGCTGGCCCGGGTTCTTCCCTACGCATCACACCTTCCAATTCGCCTGGTCTGAGAGCTCCCCGGTCCCCTAACAAGACCTCCTTGCACCAATCCACCCTTTCCCTCCGGACTGTTATCGGCACGACTACGACGGACCCAAATGGCTTCTCAAGCCACGACCAAAGCAGATCGTTTGCGCTATGCGCCGGTTCGGCGGCTATCCTTGCAGAGCTGGATGATGAAAACAATGTGAACCAGCGCTTTTTCAAAGCACGACCCTCCGCGAGCAGCATCAATCCCGTTACGTCTTTCTACAACCAATCCACGCCTCCATCGACGCCCGATACGAGAACAAAATCGATATCCAACATCAGAGCAAATGCGCACAGTAACACCCACAATGGATCTCCGTCCAGTGACCTGGCCGAGACTAACAGCCCGCGATCCTGGTCATCGAGGGAAAGAATAAAGGCGGTTACCAGCGTGTCAATCAGCCCAAATGGAAGATTCCTTGCTGTAGGAGAGGTGGGTAGCGTTTAGTTTTCTCTGCACAAGTGAAGAGCGTGGCTAGTCCGCTAATCTGAAAACAGACTGGATATAACCCCCGAGTCTTGATCTTCTCTACGGCGAAAGACGCGTCCCCGGAGGTTCCCCTGACGATTCTGACCGAGCATACCGTCGGCGTTCGCAGCCTCTCCTTCAGCCCTAACTCCCAGTACCTCGCCACCCTCGGAGAGGTGAATGACGGTTTTCTCTTCTTGTGGGCTGTAAGTCTGAAGTCCGGATCGGCCAGGCTACATTCGACCAATAAGTGCATCAACATTGTTCGCCACATGGGCTGGACGGGACAGAGTCTTGTCACGTATGTTGTTGGGCTCGATCCCTGCTCGTTACCGGTAGCAAGACTAACTAAGGTGGCAGCGTTGGCGTTCGACATGTGAAGGTATGGCGCCTCCCGGAAGCAAGACCTGTATCCCCATCAAAGTCCCGCCTGAATGCGGATCCGGCCATTAGCTCCCCCAGCCTGGCCCCGAAAGCGCTTTCGGGACGAAACTGTCTCCTCGGGCCTTTTGGGACTTGCGTATTCACCTGTGTCGCAAGCATATCAGACAGTGAAGCTGTAGTAGGGACCGAAGACGGTGCTCTCTGCCTCCTGGATGACAGTGAGGTGTCTCCAAGACTATCCCTGATCAAGTACGTGGGGTTCGGCATCTTCTCTTTGACCATTGATCCGGATCATGGTTACCTCTGGGTCGGTGGTCGGGAAAAGAGGATGCAGAGGTTCTCATTGGAGTCACTCCGGCCGAGAAGCCCAATTTCGCCAGAGCCTTCTGGTCGAACCTCAGCGAGTAAAAAGGCCAAGGGACCTGCGATCACTTGTATGGGATCCCTCGGATCACATCTAGTGACCGTCAATTCCAGCAAAGAAATCCAGATCCATCGGGTAGAGTCAATAAGTAATGATTGCGAGAGACAACTTGCGATTGCCGCTCATAGAGATGCGGTCCTCGGCATTTCTCCGTTACCAAACCTCAACGAACTCCAAGCCAACTTTTTCACGTGGTCGTCCAACGGGACCGTGAATTTTTGGGACACAAAGGGCAGGTGTAAAGACTCTAGGACAGTCACGGTAGAGCAGACTCTGGGCAGTGATGAAAGCCAAATAAACGAGTTGAAAATCTTGAGGGCGACTCAAGATTTGAAGTTATTCGTGTCGGGAGATAAGATGGGTGTTTTGAGGTATTCAACCACTCCTACCATTGAAACAGACAGCATAAGGAAGTGAAACATTGACCTCGAGCTTAGGGTCTTTTCGGGACAGTCATGGAAATGTGTCAATCAGATTCGGGCTCACGAGGCGGAGGTCACAGATGTGGCCCTTCACTTAGACTCAGAGTCCTGTCTCATTGCCAGCTCTGGTCGAGATCGCATGGTTCAGCTTTTCCGTAGCACTGAAGAAAGCCTGGAACTTGTGCAGACCATGGATGATCACGTCGGGTCAGTAAATCAGTTACTTTTCGTCAAGAATGGCGAGAAGCTTCTCTCGTGCTCCTCAGATCGCACAGTTTTCATTCGAGAACGCATGACTCGAGAAACCAGCGGAGAAACAGCTGTTGCGTATCTGGCATCAAGGGCTGTCACGCTTAAGACATCACCGGTTTCCATGACTCTATCTACAGAAGACCCAAATATTCTAATCATATCCACTGTTGATCGTTGTATACAGCAGTATGATCTCGATTCAGGGAAGCACATTCGCTCTTTCCGGACCACCGATTCAGATTCAAGCGACACCGTGGTCATGACTGCTCTGAGCATGGCTTCCCACATTCCAGGAAAAAGTCCCACGTTGCTTATCGGAGTCGCAAGCACGGACAAATCGATTCGCGTGTACGATATGGAACGCGAAGCGCTTCTTACTGCCGAGTTCGGCCATGCCGAAGGCGTGAGCGATGTATGCTTGCTGACCAGAGATTCTGACTGCGTGGGGAAACCTCCTAGTCGAACACTGGTTAGCGCTGGTATTGACGGTGTCGTCATGATATGGGATTTACTGGTACAACCACAGCAATCTCAGGATTATACCCAAAACAATCTATCAGAGGAAGAAATCGACAGTGTGTCGAAAAATCTGACGGTCTCCAAGCCGCCTCTGCGCAAGATTCTATCCAAACACGAGCTTGCTGGATTCCAGCGGCAAGACAACATCACAGGAACCCCAACTCCTGTACGGGACTCCTCGCAGTCCCTGGCTCGTAAAATTTCCAAAATTTCCCTCGCACCTTCTTCCTTGAAGAATGAAAAGTCTGCACCGGCTACGCCTTCTCCTTTCTCAAGGTCTGACCGTCGCTCTCCCCCTTCGCACTCTCGCCTTCAGAAGTTGCGCAAGTCACCATCCCCAACCAGAAGGTCAACACCTGGTAAAAAGCTCAGCAACACAAACAATCATGCTCGTCGTATATCACTGGACTTCCGCTCCCGTGGCAGAAACTTGTCAAAGAGCGAATCTGGAAGTCTAAATTCATCTACGGAGCAGGTTTGCCGCACATTGAAGGCTTACAGGAAAAAGCTGCATACCTCCGCAGAGCATCTCCACTCCCAGAAGGAACTGGAGCGAGAACTGGACCTAACACTTCGAGTCCTGGCTGCTCGACCTAAAACTTGTGGAAATGTCGAGATCGAGACGGACAGCAGCGGAAAGGAAAATGACAGAAAACAAAATCCCCTACAAAGTCCACATCGAATGCACTCGGCTCCAAGTTTGCGCCAAAACGGCGCTTTTCAGCGCTCGAGAATCATATGCTCTAATGATAATGGTGAAAATTCCAGCGAATAGCGGATTGGTTGGTTCCAGTGTCTTGCATTTCTATGCATTCATTCGTCCACTTTATTTCTTTCACGTTCGCCAGCACTCCTATTCTGGGTCCATCGCATAGTTTTGTTCGACATTGCATATCACCCTTTCTGCCCATTGCACAATGCTTGATTCATTTTTCGGTCTTGCCGTTAGCTACGGGCAAAGCTCGATGGAGTTTGAGGTTGGATTTATCACAATCTTTTGCATCTTATTTATGGATATGTGGTCAATCAGACAGACACTGGAAGCAATTTACAACGAAGATTCCCTAGCTGGCCTCTGTGGTCCGGTCCTTCTTTGAACCTCTTCAAGCCTAAGTATATAATCAAATTGTGACCACTCCCGTAGCGTAATATATAAGCGAGTAGCCCGTAACTCACATAAGTTTGGCGTAGTTCTGCCGCAGCATTCTTAACAGCGCACCACCATCATCCTTTACGAAACCAGCCAGTGTAAACGCAATCTCCCCCCATCTTCGACAGTCCTCATCAGCCGAGGCAAGATATAAATCGACCGCTCTATTAAAAGCCATTGTTGCGAGCCATTTGAGCTCGTCGCTCGGGTATATAAACGGCAAGTCTGCGTCTGCTGAGCCATCGCGAGCTAGGACGATAGCTTGCTGATGGACTGACTCTGCCAACGAGTAGTCTTTCGCCTCTACGGCCATTTGAAACAGGCAACGCAGATACCGGGGGAGTTTCTGGTGGAAGGCCCCAGCACTGAAGGATGGGGAGGGTGAGGAGTGGAAGATGCAGATCATATCCTGCCTTTGTTAGACTTTCTATTGACACCGGACGAGGTTGCTTCACCTTGACGACCTGTGCGATGTTGGGAGCTGGCGCCCCAGAGCGGAGGATGCAGTCTAGGAATACTGAGCAGAGGTGGTCGTCGAGGATCGTGCTGGCTCTCTCGAGTATGTTGGGGATGTCGTTCCATTGTTTGAGATTGATGGCTGCCTCGAGGTCCAAGGCGATCAGGAGGCGGTGCTTATGCATCCATGCCTCTCGTTCGTGTATGGTGTTGTATGTATCAAGATGAGTTTTAACGTGGGTTTCGAAGCGCTGAACGGATTGGCGGATTTGCTCGTAGGCCTAGGTGTTGTCAGTCTGCTGTGTCTCAAAGAGATGGCTTGAAATAATGACCTTGGCAGAAGACGGAGTATGACCACGGGCATCGGCTATCAATTTGTTGGATTTGACGAACTCGGCGAGGAGATACATGAAAACTCGGTCTTTGATGCCTGTCTTTTCATGGTATAGATCTGTGAACTATGCCGGTGTTAGAGGATTTAGCACCGTTCTTCGTGGCGAGGTTACCTTGATGGATATGTCTAAGAGATGTAGGACAGGCTCCGAAGGGGAACTTCTATGTGTGTCAAGGGCTACGTTGTAGCTCTTCTTCGCAAACCATTCTAGTTCACTGGCTGAGTAGAGTGGCAATCTCCCTTCGTTGTCGGCACATTTCAGGGCTGATTCGGCTTAGTATTTGGTTTTCTCTGGATTGCGCTGAAGCTGACCTTCCTCAAATGTGGATATGAGATGGGCTTTTGAAGCCGCATTGTCACGGTCTTCTGACTCCAATAGTTGAGCAAGCAATATTATACAATGAATTAGCCCAGTAACTATTTGTCAGACACGGGTAACACATACTGGAACAGTGTCGAGACGGATGTTGCTCCAAGCGAGTCGTCGTCCATGCCTGCTATAAGCTGCTGAAGACATTCGATGGTAAATCGGGTATTTCCCGAGCGTCGAGCTTCTGCAGCACATGAAGAGAGATATATCTTTCCCTCTTGCCCTAGCTCGCTCAACGACCTAAGACATGTTCGCCCTGGAGTTCCGTTAGATATTTGATAAAGACCACTCTGCAGACATACCAAGAGTATAGTCATCATCTCGTAAAGATACACCATACAGCATGTACAGCGTCGACGCTGAGGCTTTGCATTCTTCGAGGTGTTTCGCAATGACTTTATGCGCCTCAAGCGTGCTTGAATCATCTCGGGAGCAGGAGATCAGCTTCCTGTTAAGATCACTTTGATTAATCCCCATGCAGAGAACGCTCCCAGGCCACAAGAACGCCTACCTTAGAATTTTGTCTTTACTGTCCGAGGATATTTTGAATAGAGGCTGTTCGATCAGGAATTCACAGCATCGCTCTGCGTGAGACGTATCTCCCTTAGATATCGCTGCATCAATGTGCTTCCAGACTAGCTGCGTCAACAGTCAGCAATTGCGAGATGTGTGCCAGTTCTAGATCGATTCACAATTAAGCAAGCATTGGTTGCCTCTTCACTCAGTTGCCATCCATGCTCAAATAGACTGTGGGTCACATCTTTCATGGCAGCAATGCAATCGACAGCACAAAGATAAGATTCGGTCAACGCCCAAACGAGGCTGATGAAGACACGCTCCGTCCATGCCCTTTTGTCTGAAACAGCAAGCTTGTCACACAACAGCTGCTTGATCCTTTCCAGGAAAAGCTGGGGTCTTCCTTGTCAATACCACTATGTCAGAGAACAACGCATTGGGATCCTACCTGGATTCCTTGAGCTTATGGATAAAGTATAGGATACTATTTCTCCTTTAGACGATGAGTATGCCAAATTAAGAAAAGAAACGCACGTCTTTAGATCAGCGTCGTTTAGCTTCAAAGCAGCAATGGCGCGTCGAAGGACTGAAAGACTGGATGAGTGGTGGGACACACGCGGGATATGGTGGTCTTCTTACTTTCAGCATATTCATCGCAGTCGTCGATATTCTCCTTACTGAGAATCTCGAGTTGAAGAACATGAGTTTCAAATGCATCATCGTATTCCTGCAAATTGTCAGCAACAATATGATACATTTTTCTACATCTTACACTTTTCAAGCACACTACTGCCCTGTCGAGACCACGCTTTCCGTCTGCCGTGTCGAGATGAAGACTGACCCAAGCTGCAAGCCATCAACTCACTCGAAAAAGCCATAGGCTCATAGCAACTTACCGAAAGCAATCAAGACCCGGAGCTTCTTATCCTTTAGGTCCGGATGAACTTGTTGGGCTTCCTCTTGAAGAAGCTCGCTTGAGCTCAAAGCTCTTTCAAGCCATCGAGCTGCCACATCAAGCTGCCGACGTGAGATTGCCTGCCCCCCAACTTGATAGCAGATGCCCATAACGGTCTCTTGATGTCCGCCTCGGCTCGCTTGCGGGACCTTGGATAATAAGTGCTCTGCAATATCGGATCTACCTTGCAGCCAGGACTATGTCATAAAGGTCAGTTATGTGAATATGATGCGTGAAATGCTCATTACCAAGTAGACGCGCAGCATGTAGTATTCCGTCATGTAAGCTTCGACTTTTGCTCTGTAGTGGCTGCTCTGGTTTCTAGACATATCATTCAGGCGAGTAGCCGCTACACCAATGATCTTCTGGCTAAGATCCAAAAGTCCCTGATCTGCATCGAATACCATCATCGGAGCTGGAACTTTGCAAGGGATAGATGAGACTCACCCATGCAAGTACGTGCTGCTCTCAGAGCAAGCTCAAAGCTTCGGCTGTTTCCTGGGGACAGACTTCAGAAACGGTCACCTATTCACGTAGGTGGACTCATACCTTGATTGTGGGCAGACGTGGCACAATCCAGCATTGCAAAAGCGAGAGCTTTCACTGCAATGGTCAGAACTGCTGCAGAAGAAGCAAGTTGTGAAGATGTCAAACCTTTACTCAGTAGCCTCAGCGCGGAACTGTCGGCAGAAGCGGAAATTGCCATTAGTTGCGAGCATGTATTCCATAACTTCGTTCCTTCAGTATCCAATCGACGACGTATGGTTGATGAGGGTGCCGTTGGGAACAAGGGTATATCGCCGAGATAGTTGTCAAGGAGTTCGACCGAGGTATTCGGCATCAGGGATTGTTCAGAGGGTCTTGCGTTGGAAAGCCAAGTTTGTATCTGAGTAGCGAGCGCTGATGGACAACGAATAATTAGACATCATGGATGGAGAGCATGGGGGTAGATTATACTGCGGACTTACCTAGGACATTGAATGATCGTTCTTCAAGATCCTTGGATGTCATTGTTCCCATATCACAACGGTTGCTACTGTAGTTGGACGGTTGGAACCTTGACTGTGCTACTTAGATGATGAGAAGCAGCGCTTCTACTGAGAACCTGGCGGTATATACTGAGTAGAAATCTAGAAGACCGCAGTTGCTGGGTGATATTATCAACTTCCTAGCAAACTGGCGTTCACCTGACTGAACTAGTCCATAGTCAAAGGTCAAGACACATAGACATGAGAGCATAGGATATATAACCACTCCGACAGGCAATAAATACAATTCAGTTCCTCGAAAACTTTGGAGGATATGTAGCATCTTCTTTTTTTGATAACCGTGCAAGCGTCACAGAAAGGATATCGAACAACGTTCTCTAGTAGCACTCATACGGACGGGCCCATAAAAGAAGAGAATAAGAAAAAGGACGAACGCGAGAACTATGTACCTGAATAGTTCGAATAACAAAGCCTAATTCCCCTAAATACGCCCGTAGACAGACCAATTTCAATCTCAGATAACAATCATTTGCTTCTTCGTTGTGATGGTAGGAAGTTGCCAATGATGAGCGAAGGACTAGGTGTACTGTCAGCAAATTCTCAGGCATGCAACGGATATTGTTGAGCACTCACATATTATGATTGTCCCTCCGAATTGTGAAAGAGAAGCAACACTGAATCCCATTCCCGGGATTACTCGAATTCGGATTCTTTAGTGTGCAGCTTGTGAGCATCGCCTTTTGAGTGTTGTCGAACGCAATAGCACCGAATTTCTCCCAGTAGCTCACGAGCTGATCCTCAACAATGATCTCGTGGATTGCCAGCTTGCCGTCTCGCAGACTCTCTATTGGCACGCCAATAAGTTCTGCCATCTCCTTGTTGCCGCGGAAAATCTCCCCCGTTCGCCTCCAGCAGCAGGCGGGAATCGCCATACTGGCAAAGACACGGTCATATTCCATCAGACTTCGTTCGAACCACATCTCCACGAGAATGAGTTCGATATCGGTCAGGCTTTGCATTCTCTCCCGAAATTTAGGTCGGAATTTGTCCAGCTGCCGCAGAATCTTCTGGCGAGATGACTGCTTCATGTTCTTCTCCATGTATTGGTTCAAGCGAGCGTAGCCTTTAACATAGTTAAAAGGCTTCAGAAGACCAGCATCGTATTTCGCCTTGAGAAGCTTGTTCATCCGCTCTTCCGGTGGGTCTGAACCTGAAGGATCCGCCGCAGTCATGTAATAAGTCTCTCTTGCCTTATCGTTCACCACCGTGGAGCTTGGACCTTGAACGGAATCGTTCTGAGGCGGTTGACTCTGCGTTGGCTGAGGGGGCTGAGCTTGCTGCAGTAAGGCCGTATTATCCAGATTGGCCATTGAATTGATCAACGTTGGATCGGAGTATATCCCATGTAGATTATCATTTTGGAAGATCCCCCCGTCATCTAGAAGGCTGCTGCTGAGAAAGTCTCCCAGGAGGTTGTATTCGTTCGTGACTTCCGGGGCATTGAACATGTACGACGGGTGGAAAGTGTGCATATCCTGGAATTGGCTTTGACCTCCGAGCCAGTCGTTGTAGCCCATCACTGTTTTATCATTAGCACCAGTCAGAAAATACAGGCAGCCGCCTTAGTACTTACGCTGTTGAGAGTTAAGGCCTATGCTGTTTTGCGCAGAGGAGGAGGGGATGTTGTTATGCTGCACAGCACTGACAGAGGAAGGGGGAAGGGCGATAGTTCCATCGGCAAGGATTTGCTGGCCGGCAGCATCTTGAACATCAACGTTTCGAGGCATGCCTTGGACACTTGGAAACTCATTGTTCGAATGACCCTCCTCTTCAGCAGTTGAATTTTCGTGTTCGCTCCGCGCCCGCTTTGAAGGCTCCCTGGGTTCGTCATGACACAAGTGACCTATGTTGCGCTTTATACACCGCGTGCACGGCCGCTCCTTTATTTAACCCACGTAAAAAGTCAGCTAAGAACCTTTCGCCAAAATAGAAGCCTGCGATACATTTCACGGAGGCAAGCTGAAGGAAATGGATCAGGAAGGTCGTACCGAATCGCAAGTCATATGCTGTGCCACATAAGGAAGTACCCTGCCGTTAGCAAATGGATTCTCGGAAAGTAGACCTTATAGTGACGATTGGGAGTCGCGACGCAGGAGAGCGTGGTGGATCAAGGATATACGGGGTCA